AGAGAACATAGCCAGGAATGTTAATGGCCCAGTCATGTGAAGATTGAAGCCAAGATTCAACAATATCAATTAAATCATAGTTCTCTTCATGCACCAATGCTTTTAAGTCACCTATTTTCATGGCTGACTTCTAACATTGGTGAACAAACACTTTCATTCATTGACACCTTTTGCACACTTGTTTTGCATTTTTTTTATTTTTGTACAAATGGTACCAATTTCATTGGTTGTTTGTAACATGGGAACCTTCTTATCAACTGCCATAGCCCTCTCCCCTTCTTTCTCCATTCCACCCACCAATAAGAACTGACTCCTGTCTGATGTGTCTGCCCCATTATAATCTAATTTTCCATCCCACCTCAATCCTAGTTTAAATACTCTTCCAGCCGTCCCATAAACCTCTCCCCTAGCACAGCGGACCCCCTTCCATTTAGGTGCAAACCATCTCTAGCATATAGGTTGCACCCCAATGAAAAGTCAGCCCAGTGCTCTAGAATGTTACACATGGCACAGGTAATATTTCAGAGAATATCACCTTGGAGGTCCTTCCCTTCAACTTGCAGCCTAGTTCTTTAAATTGATTCTTAAGGATCCTCCACCTTCCATGTATTCTGTCATTGGTTCCAACATGGACCAAGACAGCTGGGTCATGCCCAGCTCCTCCCAGTAATTTATCAACCCAGTCCACCACATGCCGAACCCTGGCACCAGGGAGACAGCAAACCATTCGGTTGAGGCGATCCTGGCGACGACAAATTATTCTATCAGTCCTTCTGATTATAGAAACCCCTATTACCACCATCTAGACCTTCCTGCACTACCCTCACAGGAAGGTAGATGATGCAGGGTGTGTGCTAATGAGGTCAGCTGGTCACCTTCCTGTGTTATGACCTAAAGTCTCTGCAGGAAATAAGGCAGAAGTAATGGAAAAGCTTTTTGGACAGCCATCTGGACACTGACATAAAGGTGGGTAGAAAAATGGAAAACTTTTGAATTTGTGTAAAATAAGTACATTAATGCTATATTGGTACACAGGGGAGCTGTAATTTAGAAGAAAAAAAAAGGTGAACTTATCCTCTAAACTTTGACAATGAAAGCTGGAAGCTGATTGCTTACTGTGCACAGGTGCACCAGATTCTTTGTGCTCCAGTTTTAGTAAATCACCCCCCCCCCCCCCAAACAAAAATTAAAAAAATAAAATAATGCCATATAGAGTGTATTGGTTTGCAATAGCCCATGAGACAGCTATGGGGCCCAGAAGCACAGGGGGGTCCCAGAGCTCTTTAACTACACAGAAATTTAACAAAAGTTGCAATAGCATTTGGCAAATAATGTACAGTTCATTGAAAAAGTATTCATACCCCTTTTGAATTTTCCACAATTTGTCATGTTACAACCAAAAACAGAAATGTATTTTATTGGGATTTTATGTGATAGACCAACACAAAGTGGCACATAATTGTGAAGTGGAAGGAAAATAATAAATGGTTTTCAAATGTGAAAAGTGTGGCATGCATTTGTATTCAGACCCCCGGAGTCAATATTTTGTAGAACCACCTTTTGCTGCAATTACAACTGCAAGTCTTTTTGGGGATGTCTCTACCAGCTTTGCACATCTAGAGAGGGACATTTCAGCCCATTCTTCTTTGCAAAATAACTCAAGCTCTGTCAGATTGGATGGAGAGCATCTGTGAACAGCAATTTTCAAGTCTTGCCACAGATTCTCAATTGGATTTAGGTCTGGACTTTGATTGGGCCATTCTAAGGGCTCGTTCACACTTGACTGTTTTTAGCAACATTTGCCAAACGCCCCTATAGCGTTTGGCAAGCGTTGGTCCGGCGTTTGCGGAGCGTTTTTTAACGCTCGCCAAATGCTCTGCAAACGCCGCATGCGTGGTTTAGCGGCGGTTGCTAGGTGTTTGCAGAGCGTTTAAAACGCCCCATAAACGCCTAGAATGAAGTTTGAATGGTGTTACCGCTCCGCAAACGCCCCACAACCGCGTCTCAACCGCGCCGCAAACGCTGGCACCATAGACAAGAATAGGAGGCTTCAACGCCTCCTGACTTGTCCAGAGGTGTCCGTTTTGCCGTGACGCGCCGCGATGCTACCGCTCCTGTTAGAACAGCACCATGTGCTGCAATGTGCAGAATTGCCAGAGGCGTTTGGGAAGCGGTAAAAACGCACTGTACCTCCTGCAACACCTTTGTTTACACTAATCTGGAGTTCTTTAAATAAATCCTGTATATTTCATACACCTCATTCCATATTGTGCCAGTTTTGTCTTTTATGCGGAGGGGTACTTTTATTCAGAGTGCAGTAGCTGAGGTGTTGGTTATGTACTGGTCCCCAGTTTAAAAAAAACTATTATATGAAGGTGTGGGACAGGGACAGTAAGGCTGGGGAGCAAAGTGCTAGATGATGCTGAATGTCCTCTATCCAGGAAATCAGACTTGATCCAGCTTCTACTGAACACTGCAAGAAGCTCACAGTGTGCAGTGAAATTAGAGTAAGAATTTCAGAACAGGATAGGATCCTGCACAACTTTGCAAGACTGAAAGTAAGTTTTAACATTCCATCAACTGTAAGGTTGTTTCTCTTTGGTGTCTGCAAATGTACTTGGCACACCGCTGTTTTCACATAAGCCTGATCATACCAATGTGTAACTAATTTGTTCTTGGCAAGTTGCAGGAACATGTATAATGTTAAGTTGGCAGAGTGGTACTTGATATGACTAACATACACAGTCCGCTCCTCACTTCTGATGGACAGAGCTGTGTCAGTATATCTTTTTGTTTATGCAGTTCTGCTATTTACTAGAGTCTCCGACATACTGTAGAACGGGTCACATACAGTACTGCCTTCTATAGATTTTTTTTTCCTTGAAAAAAGTTTCAGTATACCGAAGACCAAAACTTTAATTTCGTATATAGTAAGGAATGGTTAACAATCTACCATCTATGTCCCATTGGGGAGATTTCCCCTCACTTCCTGTCCTTTAAAACACAATTGGAAGTGAGATGAAATCCCCCTAAAGACAGCTGTCATCAAAACAAGCCTCCCTATTGGTGGATATACACTTTGTTCCTGTACCAGTGACAATTATATTGATTTTGGTGATTACGGTCACCAGGATAAATAAACTGAGTGAATCTCCCCAAAGACAGCAATAAAAACCCCTCACCATTCTATTCAAAGCCAAAAAAAGTTAGGTTTTTTTCATGCACTTTCAGAATTGGCTAGATCTGCTGCTATAGGTAAGATATACTTTCTTGTTAACACTTTCCACAAAGTGAAGGGGTATATTTATAAAAAAAGATTTGCAGAGCATGTACATTGGTTCTGTGTGACTTGGGGTCAAATCAAATATTTTGGACTGTTTTCTCTCCCATTTATTTATTTATTTTGATCATAAGCTCAGTCTAGTGACCAAGATGTCATATTTTCCTGATTCACTCAGCCTAATAACATTTGCTTTTAGCACCCATTCACACAGAACAAATGTACATGCCGTGTCATGGGACTAATAGTAGCTCTGCAGTTGTTTTTTTTATATATACCACAAAATAGTTGATAAAGTTCAGCTTCTAACAAAATTAGCATTTCTGTTTTTAGGGGAGCACTCTGGGTTGGAAAACCCACATTTGATATATTTTGTATTTTTATGTTTGCCTTCCTTTCCCAAATCATCAAGATCTTTACAAAGTTGACCTTTTTTTGCAGCTTATTTATATTGCAGGGAATCTTCATGGTTCTATAACTGTGTCTCCTGCTGCGGCCCACAGACCAGATGCAGCCTGTCTTTATCAGGCCTTTGGGGCACTATTCCTCCCACTGACGTCATTGATGAGGCACAATTCTCTCCACTAATACTAATAATGGGGCATTATTTACTCCCACTGACCCCAGGGACATTTTTTTACTCCCACTGGTCGGTGGCAAAAGCCTGGCCCCCTAAGTCTGAAGGGCAGTAAATTGGTCATTTCTTTACAAAGATTGGAGATACCTGCTCTATAATGATGGTGGTAATTGATTATAACTTGCCAGGTCTTTCTTTCTCAGACAATTGGTGCAGGAACTCAACCACAACACCCCAAAACGCCCCTTCCCTTCCCATACCCACACACCCTCCAAACTGCATTAAATAGTGGGTGTGGTCACATCTCAGTAACAGTGGGAGGGTCTTAAAGGAGCATTAAATACCAGGAGTACATTACGTACAGAGTGAATAATTCAGGGGTAGGGGGGTTACACACAAAGTGTGGAGTTCAGGGGTGCGCTATGTGCAGAGTTTAGGGGTGCACAATGTGCAGAATTCAGAGGTATTCTGCATACAGAGTGCAGAGTTCAGGAGTGAGTTACACACAGAGTGCAGAGTTCAGCCTTCTTCCACATCTACTTACTTTTGCATCCCCCATCCACATCTCACTTTCAACCCTCTTCAGCTCTGACCTCAGCATGCACCATCTTCCACATAACTTAGATTTGCTGCTATATTAAGCTGAAGCACCCAGCTGGTTCTAGTACCTTCCCACACACTGTAGGTGGCTCCACTCTCTCACTTGTAGGGGGATCATCCAGTGGAGATGTCTGCATCCACACTGTGCCCTGGTCACCTCCCTTGTCCTCATTCCGCACTCAGTGAGAGCTGCTCAGGAGATCAGATATGTGGAAGCCATTGGGTGACAAGCTGTAACTTGTAAATCCAGAAGTCGGACCTCTGTATTTAGAAGTGATAGTGGTGAGAGCAGGGAGCAGAGGGCCTGAACCAGAGCTGGTGGAGCTGAGTTTCACCAAGTTCCAACTGAAAGCAAGCCCTACAACTGGCACTTCTGCTTGGTGCAGTTCACTAGGTAGGACCCAAGCCAGCATGTAGTTCAATGTGTCAACAATCAAGCAAAAATGATAACAGTTGTAGGTGGAGCTTTTTTTTCACCTCAATATGGTTCTGTTTGCTTCACTTTGAGATCTCAAGTAACCTCATTTGCACCTTCTATTTAAGAACATCAAATACATCATTACGAAGAATGCCAGAATGCACAGAACTTGATAAAGTTACCAAATCCCCCCGACTTGGAAGGATTCCAGACAACAGATGTGTGACACTGGATGACGTCAAGGGTAAGTTCTTAGTGATTTCACTTAATGATATAGTTCTTAGTGATATTATGTATAATATTTTATTATTAATAATAATAATTTAATAAACATGCCGCATTTAATCTTGCAGGCCATGATGTCTGGCCAACTGGCTATTGTTCTGTAGCAGCCTTTCTCAACCAGGGTTCCATGGAACCCTAGGGCTTCTCCAGGAGTTTCTAAGGGTTCCTTGAGCAATGGACGACTTGTTCTTCTCAGGGGTTCCCTAAGCCCGAAATTTATTTCAAGGGTTCTTCTATGTTAAAAAGACTGAGAAAACAGACTGTTCTACAGTAAACACGGAAGTCATTTTCATGTAACTTTTACTTTTTTCTGTTTTTTTCTGTTTCATATCTCCATTCTGTAATTCCATTTACAGATTGGTAACTGTATGCTGATGCACCAGGTCAAAAATCCAACACAAGGGTTTCAGTGCCAGAAATAATTGTAACAAAACTTGAACCCTTATACCCCCTGGCCCCTAATTTTCATTAAGTCTTTTGCTATTTCTAACACTTAACCCTCCCTTCACCTAAAGCCTAAACAGTCTTTCTCAACCTTTTTTTTAACAAGGAGGAACCTTTAAAATAATTTTCAGGTCTTGGGGAACCCTTACAGCAAGCAATTATTGGGGATCAGGGGAAACATGACCCCTATATTGGTGACCAGTGGGAAAAATGACCCTCTACAGTGGTGTTCAGTGGGAAAAATCTCCTGTTACAGTGGTGGTTAGAATGCCACCCTTACAGAGAGCTAAAAAGATCACTGGTGTCTTGTGGCTAGTTCTGTAATATGTTGCTGAACCCAAAAATACAATACGCAGGCACCATCAAATGAGAAGTCAACCAACCACATCTCAAAGAACCCCTAGTTGCCTCTGGATGAGCCCTGGTTGGCTGGTCTAAAATATAACCCAAACCCTAAATGAACCCTTAACCTGACCCTAACATCTTCCTCATTCTTTCCTTAACCTTTAACCCTTAATCTGAGCTCTTCACCTGAATCTAACTCTTAACCCACTAAAAGACAGCCCTTTCAAATCTTTACTTGCCTTGTCTTCACTAAAAGTATTTAGAAACTGTTCAGCGCTGAAACTGCTTGGATTTGTAATGGCTTTGTATGTCAGCAGCCTGCACATTATACATATACTTTATTTGAATGGAGAAAAAAAATCATTTACATATGTATTGTACAAATATTACTCTCTTCATGTGCAGTATGTAAAGAATAACAAACTGGATATAGACACAAGTTTTCTTTTTCCAAAAGACACATTGACAAGACGCATACTTTAATGCTGTACTCCAAGAATTCTCTTTTTTAAAAAAAAAAAACAAAAAACTTACATTAGTTCAGCATAGTGACATCATATTCTTCATAGCTCACATCCAGAGGTCTGCTGGGGAAGCAAAAAATGCAACTTGGGCGACCAGTTGTCTGTATAGTGAACACAGAGGGTGGCTTGCATGGCATCTATACCGTTCTGAGAAAATCCTTTCTTTTTTTTATAACAATTGCAAGGCATTCTCTGATTGGATGTGACAGAGAGTAGGGGTGGATGATGTCATGGTCTCCATTTCTTCCAATCAGAGAATGCATGTATTAATTAAAAAAAAATACAAGGTGATCTCTTTACTTGCAGTGGTACCAAGAGAGCGACCCCATGTGTTCAGTATACACAAGGCAAGCCATTCAATCAACACTCGGAGGAGATCATTGCTGACTACAATTAGCACAGGCTACCACGGTGCATTTCTGGCCCTCTGGTTGTGGGATATGAAGAATTATATGTTACAAGCCTGAACCAATGTAAGTTTGAAAAAAAGATAATTAATGGAGTTCAGCTTTAAAGTGAACTCATGCTTTGTCAATGCAAGGTTAATGGCAGTACCCACAGCGGTCTTGCTGATATATATGTATTACATTATATACAGTGGTGCAATTAATTTCTTTCCATTACAGGGGCAGCTCTGAACATGTTGGAGGAGCAAGAAAGAAATTGCATAGCTTCATTTGCTTTGGGAGCAAGGTAAGACCACAGTATGTCGCTCATCCTGATTGGGTCTAGACTTACCCTTTATGGTGGTAGAAGGGGATTGCTTATACTCAATTTAGTTGCTGCATATGAACAGATGTGGTGTAGTTATGGTGAAGGTTTTTTGAGATTCTTATACCCCACATATGCTGAATCTACTGGTTCACTGAAGACTGTGGTTGATTGCAGTTTACAGTAAGTCAAGCGACAGGCAGGTCTCTCAACACCAAAAGTTCTTAGTGAGGGATGAGCCCATCTTGTTCCAATATTTTGGCTTGTGTAGGGATCGTCTGCCCTCTACTGTTTGTATTTGTGAATATCCTTGCTATTACAGAGTTATGTATAATTATGTTTCAGCACTTCCTGTCTCTGGGAGACTGGCTGGAAACCCCAGAAAAAGGAAGTGGCGAGAGAGAAAAGAGATGCTGGTACCACATGTCTTCATGGAAGAAATGTTGCTATTTCAGAGCAGAAACAGGGGTTATTAGGAAAGTGTTCCTATGTTAATAGTTTACAATTGTTGCCCATAGCCTCTGGGTGTGTATATGTATATATTTAATATCTGGTGACAGAAATACTTCTGTTCCCTTTTTATTGTCTCATATGCACTATACCAAATAGTTTGTGTGTGTAGTTGTGACATTGCTATATGTTAGTAGGTGAACCTACTTATAGCTAGTTTTATCTCAGGGTTCAATAACCAGCATTGGCTTAAGTCAGGGTAAGCGTCTGATGACCACCTCTGGTAATTAGAGGTCCAGTTGCATGACAGATGTGACCCTGCAGGGGACTAAGCACAGAGTACATATGATGACTCTTAGTTCCAGTGCCACGTCACAGTTCTTGCTGGTGAAAAGCTGTGTTCCAGGTTGGTTGGACAACACTGAATAATATCCTGTTGACAGAAGCTTGCAAGTAATTGTGACTGATCCAGATTTAGAAAATCTTCCTTTGAAGACCATGGCTCTGACTCAGGTGATTCACAAACAGCTCCAGTGATACTGAGCACTAATTATATAGCAATACGTGATACCTTCCAGAGCTTTCTTGAAGGAGGAAGGACTGTTTCATCTAAACAAGTTGATATCTCGCCTGAACGTCAGGAGCTATTTGGTGTCCCCTCTGTTAGCTATCAGAATGGAGTGTTGCATCACATTGGTGAGAGCCCTGTGGAAATTCCACCAGGGGGAAAGAGAGCCCTAGAGTAGCCCCCAGTACTGCCCCCAAGGTGCTCGAGGAGGGAAGTTATGTCCTCATAGAAACTTCTCAAGATTTGATGAACAAAGAAGGGTGGATGGCTTTTTTCTGAGAGGAAGGTCTGAAGAGCCAGAGTGGAATAACATACAGTTGTGACTTTGAAAAATTGTTCTCCCCATCCTGTCAAATATGGTTATCGCCAAGTTGTGGCTAACTGCTACCCTGTGCTGGGTGTTAACCCTTATGATGAAGTGTGCAGAGTCAATGTCAGAAATGCAACTTTTACCCTTAAATTCAATTTGAGTGACCTGACCTGAAGTTGGCAGAGCTGTGGAATCAGAAACTGACACAGCAAATTATCAGATTTTCTAGAGGTGTTCTCTACCTGTAATATAGATGTAGCGATAGCTGTGCTTGGAGTGTTAAACACACTTCTAAACTAACTGATGCTGCTCCCTTCAGAGAGAGTCCCTTGAGGAGGACAGCCCCAAAAGATGTGGATGAGCTAAGACAGCTGCTATACCAGATGAAAGACCAAAGCATCACTGGGGATAGTAAGAGTGCCTATGCTTTCCCCATTGTGGTAGTGAGGAAAAAATGTGGATCCCTCCACCTGTGTGTAGATTACAGAACTCTGCATCAAAGGACAATACCTGATCAGTATATATTGCCCAGAATTGAAGAAGCTCTGCAGGCTTTACATGGAAAATATTGGCTCACCAATATGTTAGCCCTACTGTCAGGAATGGACTCACCACTGGTGGTGGGACTCACCGGCCGTGTGGGCTGCAGTACCAGGGCTGGCCAGCGGGTGCTCTCAGCAGCCAGAAGCTCACTCCTGCAATCAAGTCATCACCTGAGGCTGATTGCAGGAGGTGTATTTAAGGAGTGGCCAGGCCTGCAGTCAGTGCCTTGGTGTATGTTTCCCATGAGCCCCCGTACCTGCATCCTGTCTGCTTCCTGCCTGATCCCGTTTCTGCTTTGATCCTGACTCTGAACAAACTCCGCCTGTCCTGTACTCGGCTATTCCTGACCACTCTTCTGCCTGCTCCTTTGTGTCTTGTCTGCCCGATGGTTCCTGACCCGGCCTGCCTGACCACTCCACCTCACCAGCCCTGACTGCTCTTGTCTGTGTTCATTCCGTTATCAGTTGGAGGTTTGGTTTTGTTATATTGTGCGTTTTATATTTGTGTATAACCTTTAATAAATTATATTGTTACACCATACTTGAGCCTGCGTTTCCCTGTGTCAGTTCACACATCTCTGATCTTACCGGGAGCCCTGACACCTACGGTCTGGATACTATTAAGTTCCGATGGCTCTCAAAGATCAGGAGAAGATAGCATTCATTTGTCCTTTGGGCTTCTATCAATTTACTTGTATTAGAAAGTATATAGCCCTACAAAACAGTGCACAGTCTGCATGGGCTTTTCGTCTTCACTGCACCAAGGACAGAGGAAACTTTATTTAGAGAAAGGACACAGAAGTATCCACTTCCAGATCAGTAAAGTACCTGGACTTTCGGTGGTTGTACCAGAGTGATGACTGTAGCTGCAGACATCGCTCCGGTACCATTTTTTAGAGCAGGTGGTTGGCTTTCTTGTACAAGTAATGGGAGCTGCTACTAGCCACTTGATTGCTTGTACAAGCAACGGGAGGGGACGTCCCCCCCCCTCCTGCCGCCTTCCACTGCTCTCCTGGGATCTCCTGTCCCACTGGGAGTCCTGAACGACCATCCGGCATGGAATCGGCTTTGATCAGCTTTACTTTATTGTAAACCAGAAGTGATGACCTGACATTACTTCCGGTTTACTCTGAAGCTTTCGGTGCCATTTTTAAATATCTGACAGCATTTAAAAACACAATCTTGCTGTTTTCAATGCTTTCAAGTGCAGAGGAAGGATTTGGGGTCTCATAGACCCAAAATCTCTTCATAAAAATATCTGTCACATGTCTATTGCTGTCACAGAGGATGTTTACATAAAAAAAAAAAAAATTAAACTGTAAAAATAAAAAAAATGAATATAAAAAAAAAAAATTAAAGTGTCCCTGCACGCACGCAAACAGCTATCGTCTCACACATGTGAGGTATCGCCTCGATCATCAGATCATGGGCAGTATGGTAATTCTACCACTTTACCTCCATGTTTTATATTTTACAAAAAATTGGGTTATGTATTTTGTTTTTTGCAATAAAATTAAAAAAAGTGTATTTTTTCCCAAGAATTTAGTTTGAAAAACTGCTGTGCAAATACTGTGTGACATAAAAAAAATAGCAAAAACCACCAATTTATTCTCTAGGGCCTCAGCTTTAAAAAATATATAATGTTTGGGGGGCTCTAAGACATTTTATGGCAAAATAATACTGATTTTAACATGCAAGCAAAAAGTGGCAGAAATGTCTTGGGGCTGAAGTGAGTATACAGTGTCATAGATGCAGCTACAAACTTATAAACACTGCCATCTACAGGTTGAAGAATATATCTTTACTGAAGATTGATGTAGTTGCTGCACACAATACATGAACACTTTATTCCAACAGGCTTTACTTTATTTTCTCACATGATGGGATGAATTTAATGTCTACAGAATTCTAAAAATGTTTTTTTTCTTTGTTTATTTAGAAACCACCTTCTGAATGATTTCCTCATGGCCCTGTTGAATTACCTGTCCTGCTTTTTGGAGAAACATTCTGACAAACAACCCAAATCTTTGATGTCGTACGTTTTGTTTTCTTTATACAAAGGGATAAATTAGATTTGGGTCTGATGGAAAAGTTAATACAGAATTTATCAGTAGTAGCGCCAAAGCCCTGCATTGAATTCCCATGTTACCATGGCCCCCCATTCTTTTTCCCCCTAATGCAGTATAAGCAAATCACAAATTTTCCAGTTGCATCACCATACCCATACTAAACTACCAACAATGATAGCGTGGTCTCATTTATTTTCACTATTACATGTGATGGGTGCAGTGGCAGCTAATTTGGCATTTCACTGTGGAGCATTGCTTCTCAACCCTATTGAGAACAGGGCTCGGTACATTTTCCCAAATCTTGCCATGCCTAAACAGTAAAAAGAAAGATTTATACTCATGTAATAATGGGAGTACAAAACATATAACCCCATACTGGAAGGTTCTGGATGGAGCTGTTTGTCACTGTGGGGGGATAAAGGTTCTGGAGGGGGTTAGGGAATTCTGCAGCAGACTTGGTGGCCCTGTAGGGTATAAGATTTTTGAAGGCAGTTGGGGGCAACTGTGGGGGATGGGGTTTCTGATGGAAGCTGGGGGTCTCTCCAGAAGGCTGTGGGTTTTGCAGAGGAAATAAAGAAGACTGGAAGGCACTATGATTTTTGATGGGAGTTGGGGGCAACTCTGGGGGATGGGGTTTCTGGAGGAAGCTGGGGGTTTCTCCAGAAGGCTGTGGGTTTTACAGAGGCAATAAAGAAGACTGCAAGGCACTATGATGGCTGAGGGACTATGTGGGACACTATTGGAAGCTGAAGGCTCTGCAGCAAGCTATGAGGCACTGGGGGGGGGGGGGGGGGTGATAGGTGGTACTGTGAAAGGTTCATGAGCATTGTTGGGACTGAAGGCTCATATTGAGCCTGGGGGCAATGTGAGAGGTAGTAGAGTACTGCGAGTACTATGGGAGGCTGGGTGGCACTATGAAAGCTGGGGGGCATTGTGGGAGATTAGAGGATCTGCAGGTAGCCAGAGCCTGGGAGGAGGGAGGCTATGGCCTGGCAGTGGGCCACAGCCACATTTTTAAAAACCAACTGCTGCAAAGAGATGTGTGACATACACAGCACTTTCTACTACTTGGGGAGCCGTTAGGACATATTTTCAGTCCTGCATCATGTTAGATAGGACCTAATGTATTATTAAAAATATAATTTATTCCTTAAAGTGGTAGTAAACTCTTCTTTAATAATTTTACCTACTGGTAAGCTTATAATAAAGCTTACCGGTAGGTAAAGTCAACATCTCTTAAACGTGCACCATTTAGGAGATAATATGCCCTTTTTGATAGCAGGCCCATGCACTCTGAAGGAACAGCATACCCATGCTGTTCCTTCAGAGCACTGTGCCATGGCCCAGGACTCCTGCGTGCATGTGCAGAAGTGACGTCACTGCGGCTCGGTCAGTCAGCCGGCCAGAGCTCTTGCACCCAGAAGGAAGACCGGGTGAAGATGGAGGCCCTGTGGAGCCATGACAGCACTCTGCTGGAGGGCATAGTTTCAAGGTAAGTCCTTCATAATGTGCTAGTATGCAATGCAGGCAAGCACATTATGGCTTTACTCTGCAGGGTTTTTCTTTTTTTTTATATTCAGTTTACTACCGCTTTAAAAGCAATAGTTGGTCTCACAATAAATAGTGGGTTTACTGGCATATTAACAACCTTAATGATAAGAGAACACCAGAGGTAGTACTGTGCTTGGGACCACCAACTAAGCAAATTTCAGTCTCTTCATCAGGGACTAGATGGAATTTACAAATTGCATGGCCAGCTTAAACCCTAGTGTGTATAGGACAGGACCATACAGCTCAAAATACATTTCCTAGGTTAAGTGTTTGGCACAAGTTCCTGATTCTTTTGCTGCTCGTGTATATGAGCCCTTATAACAGTAGCATCCAAAAGACAGAGTTTGCATGAAAGTGACCTGCACTGTCCTTTCCAGGAGGATGATTATCCTAGAGAAGAAGGACGAGGCTGACGTGAAAATGAGGACAGAAATTGCTCTGAAGCACTTTGCCCACATGTATTGTATCCTTGTCCTCGGAGAAGGAATGAATGATCAGCATCACCTTGGTTGTGGAAAGTAAGTCTCCTTTTTTTTTATATGCATTTATACACCAATATATTTATCTGTACTATTCACTATTTCCATTTACTTATTTTAAAAATAGGTAAAATTGATCTTTCATTTCCATTCCGCTACGCAACGCTTAAGCTGTCTGCTGATTGGCCCTGACTCGTCATGGGGGCTTTTTGACCTCTGCAGAGAGACAACTGCTTCTCCACAGTGAGCAATGGTCCCACTCTGCAGTGACTTGCAAAGGACAGGCTTTTGTAATCTCGGTGTAGCTTGTTTTTAAGGAAATACAAACTTTAAGACATTGCACACCTATTGTTTGATGCACCTGGAATGTATTTAGCTGATTCAAGATGAAGGTTCATTCTGGCTTTTAGACTGAATATTTTTCCAGCTGCTGATTTTTCTTTTTTTTCCCATTTGAAACTGTGTCAAGTCACCTGCAAGTCATCCTTTGACATCAGTTTCCATAGTTTATTTGAAAGTTCCCTATTTTGGTGTGATTGGACATCTCGCCTATTCTATCATCTGCTTGTGTAGCTCACTGATATAGGGTTTGAAACTGAGATGGAAAATATTATGGGTTGCTATGGGCAACCCAGAGGGTTTGCTTAAAGCGTTACTAAACCCACAACAGTAAAATCAGTCTGTATACACACTAAATCATGCTTGTTATACTCACTGTGGAACTTAAGGGGTTAATCCTCTGCATTGTGTAAAAAGGATGTTTGATCCTGCCTTCACTGATCCTCCTCTTCTTTCACAGTCCCGAACTCATCTCTTGATAGCACAGAGCCTTGGGGGCAAGCTTCACTTGCTCAGTTTGGTGTGTATTGCTAGAGATTTTTTTTTTTTTGTGCATGTGCTCTAGGAGTCACTCTGCACATGCTCAGTATAGTTTGTATTGCTAGAGAGCTTTTTTCTCTTTGGGACAGTGCATGTGATCAGCAAAGAGCCAATCAGCACTGTCCAGACAGAGGGTCAGGAGTCATGCAGCCTCATAGGACAGTCATAGGAGAATGAAAAACTCCTCCTACAAGCTTTCACCAGTGCTCTTCTGGACACTGATAGAAGTCACAAGTTTGCTCTAACTGCTGATGAGAAAAGGTACTTAGCAGTTTATATGTACTAAAATAATTGCATTTCCATTATCTGTGTAATGTGGGAGACCAGATATAGTGAGTGCAGGGTCCTGGGTTTAGTAACACTTTAAAGTTGTCCATACTCTATACAATCTAATTGTACAAACTTGTTTAGCCTTAAGATGGAACATATAAAAGGAGATTGTACAATCAGTATGTATAGTGTATGGTACTTTTAAGACCCATTCATAAAGTATGATGTAAAACTGCTAAATTTGATCATAATCTGATCAATAGTAACATGAGGTTGCATGGTGGAAAAAGAGATGCAATCAATAACTATCAACTGAATTCCACTACCCTGTGTGTGGCATGTCAATTGTTTGTGTTGTTGATTATAGAACGATTATTCCTGTCAGGGGAGATCAGTCAGATAAGAAATGATTGTGATGATTGGCCCCCCTGGAAGTGGAAAAACAGCATCGTATTCCAAAAATCAAGCAATAATATGGAGAGGCCCCTCCTCCCTTTTCAGCTGTAACAGCCTCCGATCCTCTGGGAAGGCTTTTCACAAGATTTTGTAGTGTGCCTATGTGAACTTGTGCCCATTCAAACAAAACAGCATTTGTGAGGTCGGGTTACTGATGTTGGATGAAAAGAACTGCCAGGCAATCTGAATTCCAAATCATCCAAGTAGAGTTGAGGGTCAGGGCTTTATGCAGGCCACTTCCACATCAGACAGCAAACCGTGTCTTTATGGGTCTGCTCTGTGCACAGAGGACAGTCATGCTGGAACAGAAAGGGGTCTTCCACAAACTTTTACTGCAAGGTTGTGCAAAATTGTCTAAAATGTCTTTGTATGCTATAGTGATAACAGTACTCCTCACTTTAATTGTTTTAATATGTTCTGTTCTTCAGGACACAACGTACATGTACTATTTTGTCCCATCTTCCCATGTGCTGTCTAAGGCAAGCCATAGACAAGTCGAAAACCGAACATTCTGTTGATCGAAAAATGAAAATGGCACATACAATTCTGCCATTTTTGGTTATTTTTTTTTAAACAAAATCCAGCATGTCGGATCAGTCACTTTCGATTGTAATGCGAAAATTACGTGTCGCAACTGGTACACTAATGATGCAAAAAACGAACGACCAAGAACTTTCATTCAGTTTTTGTCCTGTCTGTGGCATGCGTAAGGCTAGCTATGAGATCAGAGTGCCCCTCCTTCATCCATGGCCGCCAAAAACACAGCTAACAAGGAGAAGGCTGATTTGATTAATGGCATCTTTCTGATTCTCCAAGCACTTGCCCATTTGCCTTGAACATTTTAACTTTAAGCCCCCTCCCCTTCCATTCTGTGTGAAACATTTTTCTCAGGAAATTGCTTGGTGATGGACAAACGTGCCATCTGTCGAAGAAGCCATCTCCTTGCCAGCTGCGTTGTTGAATAGCCGTGGAGGGTGGAAGGGTGCTTTATCCGATCTCATAGCTAATCTTAGGACCTAGGAAGATAGAAAAAAGTAATAATACATACAGTTGCAAGAAAAAGTATGTGAACCCCTTGGGATTATATGGAGTTTTGCATGAATTGGCCATAAAATGTGCTCTGAACATCATCTAAGTCACAACAATAGAAGAACACAGTCTGCTGAACATAATACTACACAAACATTAGATGTTGCCATAGTTTAATTGCATATAACATGTAAACATTCACAGTGCAGGGAGGAAAAAGGCCCTAGCTTAATGACTTCTCCTAGAGCTAATTGGAGCCAGGAGTGAGCCAACCTTGACTCCAATCAGTGTGATGATATTGGATGTGTTGCTGACAGCTGTCCTGCCCTTAAAAATCACACATCTGTTTTGGGTTTACTGGTTTCAAGAAGCACTGTCTGATGTGAACCATGCCTCGCAGAAAAGAGTTCTCAGAAGACCTACGACAGAAGACCTACTGGGATTACGTTTCATGCAAAACTCCACGTAATCCCAAGGGGTTCACATACTTTTTCTTGCAACTGTAGCTACATAGAAAAAAAAAACAAAAAAAGTTATAATCCTACACCCACAGTTGATCCAGAGGAAGGCAAAACACAAATTCTGTCAATTGTGACCTCTTGATTTAAGTTCTAGTTTCCTGGCTCTCAGGAGGCTCACTTCAATATTTTAAATACTGATCTGGAACAAGCATGCAAATATGAACTTCTGACTTTTCTCCAATCTTCTGCAGTTCAGCGACTGTCAGCCAGGTGTCTAGCATTTTCAGAAGGAAGATGGCAATGGCAGTTCAGCGTATTTCTTTCATGACAGGTTTGCTTTAGGCAATGCCCGCCACCTGCGTTCCATTTTGCGCGTCCTATCCAGTAAATAATCCATTGACTTAGTCACAACATGCCATTTTCCAGCCTTGGCAGAGCTCATTGCAGTTTTGCTTTGCTTAGATGCTCATCGCTCACCAGTACTTATTAACTATTTACATATTTGTCCTGCGTCCAACAGAGAGTATTTCAGGACAAGTGCCTGCTACTTTCTTTGTTCCCTGCTGAAAAAGATATTTATTTAACTTGTACTGACACCAGAGAGAACCTTTTCCAAATCCTTTTCCATTCAGTTCACTTTTAAAAGATCAGTTGGACTTCTTAGTGAATAGATTTTACTCAGCACTTTGGGCAGACAAGTCCTAACAGAGCGTTTCACAGACTTGTGTGTTATGATGTTATGTTGCGTAGCTGCAGCACTGTTTGCTTACTTAGAATTTAAATATTTAGATAACTTTGATGGAAACGAGATACAACCGTCCCCCAAGGGATGATATTCAAAAATGTCGGATTATGAGATACAAAATGCAAGCCACACATTAAGCATTGTGTCACCTAATGACACAATTCTAGTATATCCCAAGGTTTTTTTCTGCAGCGTGTCACTTCTTTCTTGTATAAAAACCCAACTAAATCAAAACTTTTATTTTGTATTTTGTTTGTACAACAATATGTTATGATATTTAACTGATTCCCACTTAGACGTACACTCAACGGCCACTTTATTAGGTACACTTGCTTGTTTCAATTGCTTGGTAACACAAATTGATAATCAGCAAATCACATGGCAGCAACTAAATGCTTTTAGGCATCTAGATGTGGTGAAAACAACTTACTGAAGTTCAAACCGAGCATCGGAATGGGGAAGAAAAAGGGGATTTGAGTGACTTTGAATGTGGCATGGTTGTTGCTGCCAGACGAGCTGGTCTGAGTATTTTTAAAGCTGTTGATCTACTGATATTTTCAAGCACAACCATTTCTAGGGTTTTCAGAGAAAAAGAAAATATTTAGTGAGTAGCAGTTGTGTGGGCGAAAATGCCTTGTTGATGTCAGAGGAGAATGGGCAGACTGGTTGCTCTGACTTTCAGATGGTAGGGGCAGAATTTGGGGTAAACAACATAAAAGCATGGATCCATCCTGCCTTGTATCAGTTCAGGCTGGTGGTGCTGGTGTAATGGTGTGGGGGATATTTTCTTGGCACTAGCAAGGTGTACCTAATAAAGTGGCCCTCCAGGCTCCTCTTCTTCTCGGTGTGCCACCATAGGAAGCCGCTTTCTTTTGGTGTCACACCTGTGGGCTCAATCTTGAGCTGGGCTGTGTGCGTCTATTGCCACACACAGTGAGGCTCAGCCCTGTCGCCCACACTCTGCTCACAGAATTTGATTGACAGCAGCAAGGGCCAATGGCTCCCCCTGCTGTCTCTATGAGCAGAGAGAGAGGAAAGCCACTGTAGATGGGCACAGAGCTGGATCAAGATAGGACTCAGGTAAGTATAAGGTGGGGGGGGGGGGGGGGGTGAGGAGGCGATACAAACACTGGGGCATTTTTTTTTACCTATTTTTTACAGGGACCTTGCCATACAGAAAATAGGACATGATAAAACAGTTATCTGTTTAGAACAGAAACATAAAGCATTAGCCCATTGGAGGGAGACTGTAAGGAATCCATAAACGTGGAGATACATAAAAGATCTATCTGGAGATTCATCTAATAAGAGCGCATGTGACCTATATAGCCTATAGGTCAAACATTAAGTGAGCGTGCATGCTAGAAGGTGGAGGAACACAAATGGTGATTACCTAAAATAGAAGGTCACTGGTGGATTTACTTAAGATTGAAGATTTTGCATAGCAGACTATTTGTAACTTTATTATCTTAAATCTTTTATTGGGACTTACCCTTTACTACTTGGTAGTGGTGAGATACTCCTCCGGGTGTTTACCAAGTATTATAAGTGTAGCACCCTCCTAGTTACACTAGGTGGAGGTAGATCCCTAATGGGTAGACAGGAGCTGAATAGCAGCTCAGGTGCAATAGTCAGAGGGGTCATAATGTGAGAACTGAGAGGCTGTGTAGGCCAGCCTCTCTGTTTTTTTCCCCCTGTTCTGAGGCTTTTGGAGGAGGGTCTTGGAGGCAGTGGGTGGATCTAAGAAGTGGTTGGCTGTACCTTTGAGGGACCTCAGCCAATCCCCAACAGGAGGCTTGACAAAGGGCTGGACTCCCTTAAAAGGTGTTAGAGTTTACTCAATAGAGAGAGCAGGAGTTGAGGTAGTTGGAGAGTAGTAGTGCTAGAGTAGTCTGAGTCAGGAAAATGTAAGGTTAGAGGAAGAAGGCTACCAGAAGGTCTGCTGGGATGGGGACTGCCTGCGAGCCTGGAGACAGAGAGGAAGAGACCTCAGGATTCACTGGTCACCTGAGAGAGGACTACATGTGTGGCAAGGAAGGAGTCGCCCAGCTGATAGGCCTGGAAGCAGCAGCGATTCCACAAACTGTGCAGGAGAGGATCTGAGTGAGTACACCTGCAACCCCTGGATGGATAGGGGAAGGAGCACTCTGGTGGGAAACCAGATCAGCCCTCTGCTGGTGACTGTGCACCTTATTGAAAGGAAGAGATCCCCTGCTCAGGAAGGAAAACCTACAGATTGTTGGGTGAAGAGGAGTTCATTTAGGGTCTGGTGTACTACAACTAGAATGACTGGCTAGCACTCCAACAGAGACTCCGTGTGTCAGAGAGGAGAAGCTGTGAATTGCTCAGGAAGTTTGTCCTCAGATTTTGGTTCCCTTGAGCATCCTATACACCCCTTACCCCATCCAAGTTTAATCCCCTCAATAAAAAAACAAAACTAACACTCAAGACCTTACTTCTAACCATGGATGAACGCATGCGTGTGAAAAATGCTGATTTACAGGATGTGTAGGACTATAGGGGGACCCAAATTCAACAGCAACCCCCTGGGGGTAAGGCTACATACGCAATTTATTTATGTTCTTACATATGCACTGTGTTATACTTATGTTTATTTAGTGCCACCATTTTGAGTGGTGCTCAGCCGGGTTTTTACTTGAGTCATTTGTTTTATTTTTTTTTTATATTATATTATGCACTTTGGTTTATTTACACTATATTCATCATTGAGGGGGATGTTGAGCAGGGCGTTTACTTAACCATACTAATATATATTATTTATTTGGTACATTTTTTTCACTAACATTTATAGGTGAAGTTGATTCAGGGAATATCTGATTGCCTCTCGGGGGATCAGGAAGGAATTGTTTTCCCAGCAGGAGAAAATTGAATCATGCTTGCTGGGTTTTTTTTGCCTTCCTCTGGATCAACTGTGGGTATAGGATTATAACTTATTTTATCTATGGTTGAATTGGATGGACTTTTGTCTTTTTTTCAGCCAGACTAACTATGTAACTTTTGTTATGAAGACTTTTTTTTTTGTTATGAAGATATAGAGGTTCTCTGACATTAGATTTTTATATACTATTTCACTTTAGAAATTAGATTGGATTTGAATATTTCTGAAGTGGCTAGCACAGCATCAATGTACATATTTATTTGATTGGACTGTAGGAACACATTAGAGTGCTTGCAGCAGCACATTAGAGTGCTTGGGTGGCAGTGTATGAGGAAAATGCAATGCAAAATCGCCTCCTTATGACTTCAATGCAAAATCATGTCCCATTGACGTCAATGCAAAATCGCCTCGCATTGACTTCAATGCAAAAAATATCTCCTATTAACTTCCATGCAAAAACACCTCCCTTTGACTTCAATGCAAAAACGCACCCCGTTGACCTTATTGCAGAAACACCCTCCATTCACTTCAATGCAAAAATTCCTGTCAATAGCAATCCTATGTGAACACTTATCTCCACATGCCAGTCTGCTCTAACACTTGCGAAGCTAGAACGCACTGCTACAAACTTGCACAGGACCCTTTTCGTAATGGCACTCAAAACGCAATATGTGTGGATCGCATCTGTTTGAACCACCTCAATAGGGACACATATTATCTATGTGTTTGATAAACACATCCAGTATTGCGTATATGTGAACCAGGGCAGCTCCATTCACACCTGGGATCGTAACAGAATAGATCGCAAAACACAGGTTCAGGTGCCAATTATTTTCAATGGCACCTAAAACATGCGGCTTTGCTGTGATTGTTGCATGGCAAATCGCATTGCATGAACCTTGTCGCCCAAAAGTTGCCTTGCCCAGGGCACTGACAACTAACTCTACGCTAAAAAACCCTGTCTCCTAACTTATTTAGCTGGCTCCTAGATTCAAAGCAAATTTGTCAAGCCCTGCTTTATACCAATTTTGAATACTAATAAAAAAAACTCTTCTAGATTAAAAAAAAAAAAAAATCAGTTTTACATTTAAAGTGTTACTAAACCCACGCCCTGCAGTCACTATATCTGGTCTCCCACAGTACACAGAACACAGAAATGCAATTATTTTAGTAAATATAAACTACTAAATACCTTTTCTCATCAGCAGTATATAGCAGTCTTGTGACTTCAATCACTGTTCAGCAGAGCACTGGCTAAAGCTTGTATGAGGAGTTTTCATTCTCCTCTGACTGTCCTATGAGGCTGCATGACCCCTGACACTCTGTCTGGACAGTGCTGATTGGCCCTGTGCTGATCACATGCACTGTCCCAAAGAGAAAAAAAAACTAGCATACACACTATACTGAGCATGTGCAGAGTGATTCCTAGAGCTCTGTACTATCAGCAGATGGATTGGGGGCAGGAGAAGAAGGGGAGGATTAGAGGAGACAGGATCAAACAGCCTTTTTACACAATGTGGAGGATTAACCCTTTAAGTCCTACAGTGAGTATAAGCAATCTTGACTGCATATACAGACTGATTTTACTGTTGTGGGTTTAGTAACACTTTAATGTATCTTTATTGGCCATTCTAAACTAACTTTGAGTTGGTGAAGTACTGTATATTTTTTTGTACTAATACAAGTTCAAAACTAGTGTAGAGGCACTCATGGGTCTTGCAGAGGCGGTAGATCAAAAACAGCAGTGTTTTTATTGTCAACATTTTGATGAAGCTCAGTCTAACTTTCTCAAGACACCATATACTGTATATATCTGTATACATTGTACAATATATATTTTCTGTATTTGTACTATATATTCCAGTTTATTAACTTTTCACTGTAAGAAAATAATTTACTAGGATAAAATATATTGGTTATTTTTATTATTAGTCGTTTTTAATTTGTTTTACTTATTTCTAGTAGTCCCTGTCTGTTTGAAGTGGATACAGTGGGGCAAAAAAGTATTTAGTCAGCCACCAATTGTGCAAGTTCTCCCACTTAAAAAGATGAGAGGCCTGTAATTGGCATCATAGGTAGACCTCAACTATGAGAGACAAAATGAGAAAAAAAATCCAGACAATCACATTGGCAGATTGGCAGGTCTACCTATGATGCCAATAACAGGCCTCTCTCATTTTTTTAAGTGGGAGAATTTGCACAACTGGTGGCTGACTAAATACTTTTTTGCCCCACTGTAGATATAGAAATCTCATCATATTTTTCTATTTATTTATTTTTTTACAGGAGAACATCATTCACCAAGCAGGAGCGGATATTTTATGAGGTAACAGAACATGATTAACCACTTGCCTACTCGGCATATTTACTTCCTTCCTGCCCAGGCCAATTTTCAGCTTTTAGTGCTGTTGCATTTTGAATGACAATTGCGCTGTTATGCAACACTGTACCCATATGAAATTTTTATCTTTTTTTTTTTTTACACAAATAGAGTTTTCTTTTGGTGGTATTTAATCACCACTGGAGTTTTTATCTTTTGCTAATCAAACAGAAAAAAAAAAACAGAATTTTGAAAAAGAATGTTTTTCTTAGTTTCTGCTACAAAGTTTTGTAAATAAGTGATATTTCTCCTTCACGGATGTTTGCTGATGAGGCTGCACTGATGGGTGCTGATGAGGCTGCATTGATGGGCACTGATAGGCTGCACTGATCGGCCCTGATGAGGTACTGGTGAGGCTGCACCGATATGAAGCACTGATAGGCGTCACTGATGGGCATTGATAGGCAGCACTAATGAGCATTGATAGGCGGCACTAATGGGCATTGATAGGCAGCACTGACAGCCTGCACTGAGGGGCACTGACAGCCTGCACTGAGGAGGCACTGATAGCCAGTACTGATGGGTACTGATAGCCAGAAATGATGTGCACTGATACAAAAGAACTGATGGGCATTGAAGGGTTACACTGATCAGTGCCCTGATGATCAGTCTAGATATCCCCTCTGAGAAATGCAGCTTACTGGCTCTGCTGGCAACCAGCATTTCTGATTTACACTGTGATCAGCTGTGATAGGAAACAGCTGATCACATGATAAAAGGTGGCTCTGATCAGCCCTTTACCTGGACACGTAATCAGCTATGTCAAAAGGACACAGTGGTCACAGCTCATGCAGGGGGCACACGGGAGGGGGGGTTTTGGGTTCTGGGAGGAAGTCCAGCCGAAACCAAGAACCATAATTGATATGCAGCAAAATTTTGTTCATGAAAAATCTGATAATTTGAAGAAATGTAATATTCTAAATGTAAAACAAACATAAAAACAAATAGAGCTGCAGCTTTACTCTGTATAATTTGTTAATAAAAGAGGAGTAGCAGGTACATGGGCTCCCCATCCCAAAGACCCAAAAGCAGTTACCCCCTCTTTTAAAATAGGCACCCCTATTCTGCTCAGCAGGACATTTGGTGAAGGAATTGAGCAAAAAAAAAAAATCCACTTTCTGCAAATTCACAGAAATTGCTTTTTGGCCATATCAGCTTCTAGCAGGAAAAAAATAATTTTTCCATGAGTGGCATCAATAATGGTTTTACACCCACACTGGCGGTGTCCCAAATAATCATTTGGTTATAAATAACGCTTTAATTCCTTTTGGCGCTCTCCGTGTTCTCTTCTGCTTCCTCTTCTATTGTTCTGTTTACGTCAGGTTTTGTATATCTCCATGCCCAAACAGTTGTTAAAGGATTATTGGGACATTATTACATCATTAAGCATTTCAGTACAATGTCCAAGATATGCAGACTGAACACTGCCATTAACTTCAGAAATATAATTTAATCTCTTGTGGCAGGTGGGAAGAGGGTTGGTGTGTGTGTGCATGTGTATGTGTATGTGTGTATATTTACAGTGCATCCAAAAAGTATTCACAGCGCTTAACTTTTGCCACATTTTGTTATGTTACAGCCTTATTCCAAAATGGATTAAATTCATTTTTTTCCCTCAACATTCTACAAAACAATACCCCATAATAAAAATGTGAAAGAAGTTAGTTTTGAAATCTTTGCAATTTATTAAAAATAAAAAACAAAAAAACCACATGTACACAAGTATTCACAGCCTTTGCTCAATATTTTGTTGACGCACCTTTATCACCCATTACAGCCTCAAGTCGTTTGAGTCATGAGTATGATGCTACAAGCTTGGCAAACCTATTTTAGGGCAATTTCTCCCATTCTTCTTTGCAGTACCTCTCAAGCAAATCTGGTAACCAGCTACAAGAAACATCTTACCTCTGTACTTGCCAACAAGGGTTTCTCCACCAAGTACTAAGACGTTTTGCTTGGGGATCAAATACATATTTTACTCACTGAACTGCAACTCCATTTATAACATTTGTATCGTGTTTTTTTCTGGATTTTTGGTCGATATTCTTTCTGTCCCTATCATTTAAAATACACCTATGATAAAAATTATAGACCCTTCATTTCTTTGTAAGTGGGCAAACTTACAAAATCTGCAGAGGATCAAATAATTATTTTCCCCACTGTATATATCTATCGTATATTAAACAGGGCAGAGTTGGCCATCCTTTTGCCCCCATGCAGCACTGGTTACTATGATTGGCTATGTGAAATAATTCTTTCCTTAAGCAGCTATAGTCATGTCAGTTATTTATATATGTGTGGTGCATTAAACCCAGCTGCCCCCCTACTGTTATTGGGGAACAGAGGATGTTCTGATCATGCTTGCATGTCCTGACACCAAATTCTTGGTATTCTTTGTGTGAAAAACAAACTCGGAGGGAAAAAAATGCTGGGTGCTCTGGTAAGGACTGACTCTAAAATAGATCTATTCTTGTATGGTCAACCATAACTGCACAGTGTTGGAACTCATTGGCAATGGTGAAAGTACCAGTGAAGCAGTTATTTCTACCCCAAAGCCCAATGGGACCCAGTCTTCAAGCTCCATGTTAAATGCAGACAACACTGGGTAAGGATCAAGCTTACATAAATGTATGGTCAACTATAACTTAACTGTGGCAGAGCTCATTGGCATTGTTGAAAGTACTAGAGGTGCAGTTGTTCCTGTGTGTGCTGCGTTACTGAGGCTCCGCCCTGGCGTCATGTCCACAGTTTGCTGAGAAGGTTTCATACAGCAGCACTGTACGGACTGCACACAGCTATTTACTTTTAGAGCCCGTCCGTCCGATCCAGCCATCCGCTATTACCCAGAGAGGGGAGTTCCTTAAAGCAGACACCTACACCCGTCCATCCCTTAAAGGGATCTCTGGTCAGCTGGATCTCTGGTCATACCCAATACTGGGTATGGATCAAATTTACCATAAATGTACTCTTGTATGGACAACTTTAAAGTGTTACTAAACCCATGACCCTGCATTCTCTATATATATGCTCTTCCACAGTACACTGAACATGGAAATGCAATTTTAGTAAATATAAACCGCTAAATACCTTTTCTCATCAGCAGTATATAGCAGTCTTGTGACTTCTATCAGTGGCCGGCTGAACACTGGGTAAAGATTGTAGGAGGAGTTTTCATTCTTCTATGACAATTCTGTGAGGCTACATGACCCCTGACCCTCTGTTTGGACAGTGCTGATTGGCCCTGTGCTGATCACATGCACCATACCAAAGGAAAAAAAATTCTCTAGCAATACACGCTAAACTGAGCATGTGCAGACTGACTCCTAGAGCTCTGTACTATCAGCAGATGAATTGGGGTCAGTAGAAGGGGAGGATCAGAGAACATTAAACAGCCTTTTTACAAAATGCAGAGGATTAACCCCTTAGGTTCCACAGTCAGTCTGACAAGCATGTTTTACTGCATATACAGGCTGAATTTACTAATGTGGGTTTGGTAACACTTTAACTTTACTGTGGTAGAGCTCACTAGCAATGGTAAAAGTACCAGAATTGCATTTGTTCCTCCCCCATGGGACCCATTCTTTGAGATCCCTATCAAGCGTAGACAATACTGGGCATAGATCAACCTTAAGATGGAAGTACTCTTGTATGGTCAACTATAACTTTACTGAGGCAGAGCCCATTGGTATAGGTGAAAGAAACACAGCTGTAGTAGTTTAATTGGCTCACAAGGCTCCATGAGACCCAGTCTACAGAATCTGCAATGAATGCAGAGACTATTGACCACCTGCTCTGTGAGTCTACAGAATCTGCAATGAATGCAGAGACTATTGACCACCTGCCCTGTGAGTCTACAGAATCTGCAATGAATGCGGAGACTATTGACCACCTGCTCTATGAGTCTACAGAATCTGCAATGAATGCAGAGACTATTGACCACCTGCTCTGTGAGTCTACAGAATCTGCAATGAATGCAGAGACTATTGACCACCTGCTCTGTGAGTCTACAGAATCTGCAATGAATGCAGAGACTATTGACCACCTGCCCTGTGAGTCTACAGAATCTGCAATGAATGCAGAGACTATTGACCACCTGCCCTGTGAGTCTACAGAATCTGCAATGAATGCAGAGACTATTGACCACCTGCTCTATGAGTCTACTTAATCTGCAATGAATGCAGAGACTATTGACCACCTGCTCTGTGAGTCTACAGAATCTGCAATGAATGCAGAGACTATTGACCACCTGCTCTGTGAGTCTACAGAATCTGCAATGAATGCGGAGACTATTGACCACCTGCCCTGTGAGTCTACAGAATCTGCAATGAATGCAGAGACTATTGACCACCTGCTCTGTGAGTCTACAGAATCTGCAATGAATGCAGAGACTATTGACCACCTGCCCTGTGAGTCTACAGAATCTGCAATGAATGCAGAGACTATTGACCACCTGCTCTATGAGTCTACTTAATCTGCAATGAATGCAGAGACTATTGACCACCTGCCCTGTGAATCTACAGAATCTGCAATGAATGCAGAGACTATTGACCACCTGCCCTGTGAGTTTACAGAATCTGCAATGAATGCAGAGACTATTGACCACCTGCTCTGTGAGTCTACAGAATCTGCAATGAATGCAGAGACTATTGACCACCTGCCCTGTGAGTCTACAGAATCTGCAATGAATGCAGAGACTATTGACCACCTGCCCTATGAGTCTACTTAATCTGCAATGAATGCAGAGACTATTGACCACCTGCCCTATGAGTCTACAGAATCTGCAATGAATGCAGAGACTATTGACCACCTGCTCTGTGAGTCTACAGAATCTGCAATGAATGCAGAGACTATTGACCACCTGCCCTGTGAGTCTACAGAATCTGCAATGAATGCAGAGACTATTGACCACCTGCCCTGTGAGTCTACAGAATCTGCAATGAATGCAGAGACTATTGACCACCTGCTCTGTGAGTCTACAGAATCTGCAATGAATGCAGAGACTATTGACCACCTGCTCTGTGAGTCTACAGAATCTGCAATGAATGCAGAGACTATTGACCACCTGCTCTGTGAGTGGAGGTAACTGGAAACTTTTCTGAGAATGGGAATAGAGTCATTTCCCAAGTTTAAGTCAATAAAGGTAAAGGTACAGGGTGGAGCACAATGTTGCCTGTAATAAATTTGCTTCTGGGCCATGGGAAGCAAACAAGTACATTCTTGATTATTAGGTGAATTTTACTATGACAGATAAACTATAACTCACAATGATTTCTTTCTTTCCAGAGTCTGTACAATTACTCAGTCAAGGTCGCTTGGGTAGTATTCCGTCGCAAAGAGCTGAATTTAATACAGGAAGAGGTTGGCAGGCTTCTGCGTTCCAACACATTCAATCCTGCCCTGAGGAAGAAAGATGCCCCATCAGAGCCAGGCAAAAACCTGTCTGTGAAGAAGACGTCCAAAAAAACAGCTATGTATGCAGAAAAGGGGTAGGATGTACAATTATACCCTCCTGTATACAATGTACTGCACTGCTACATTTTTTGGAATAGAAACACCAACCTATCAATGTTGGTTTTAACCGCAGGGAGAGATGTTCTGTAGTTCACAGAGAGAACTCAGGGCTGATAACATTGTTGAGATTTTAGCACCGCATTGTCAATCATGAGCTTACTAAATTTTTGGTAGCATCAACCGGTTGATATAACTAAACACTATCAATGGCATATTGACCAAAAGGGAGGAAATAAAGAGTTCATTGTAGAGCTGACATGTAACCTAACTCATGAACTGGAAGGGTCTGCTTCCATGAATTCCAGTGGACGTTGTGGACAAGAAAGAATCCTGACTGGGTGCAGGTTCTCTTCTATAGCAGTACTTTGGCTATCTTAGGGTAGGAAAGAATGAAAGTTGAACTCTAGGCATATATGGATGGCATACATAATGTACTCATTAGTACATTATTACATGTATTTTTTTAAATGCAAGCAGTGTAAGTACCTGAATCTGACCCAGTATTGGCCTTTTACAGTCCCTGTATAGCAGAGTTTGAACGTGAGAGGAAGAAGCAGCACAAAGATCCAATCAGTTCACATGCCGACAAGAAGCATGCTGATAGGGGGAAAGAGCAGAGTGACAGAGCCCATCACTGTAGTGCTTCTCCTTTCATTGACCATCAGCAGGATGGGGCCAGTCCAAGATGACATGTACTCAGAGGAATGGAGCAAATAATGCTGGCTGTGAGACTGAGGACATCTAGCTGCAGAAAAAAAGTACTGGGGGAGGGATAAATCCCTTCAGATTGAAGCGTTTTTTACTTAATCTGTTAGTGGTCTATTCTTTTTTATACTATTATTTTTTTGGCTGAAATTCTGCTTATTGCATACCACTGCCTATAAACTTAAGGGACTAAGTTTTTGGGGAGTTCTTGGACAAGATTGTATAGAAACAGCCAATACAAATAAAACAGCTATGTTGCAGTGAGATAATTGGTTCATGTGGGAAATTATAATGGTCCTCGAGAAGACACTGCAGAGGTAGTGGCACTGCTCCACTACTGAACAAATATTGGAAAACGCTGTTCTCATAAAATAAAACTCATTCATACAATATTTTACTAACTATATTATTTATTGTGCAACAGAAGGCTTCCAACCAAGCGGCCTGCTATTCATGACATTGTCACACAGCGTTCTCCAGTTCTCAGTTCTCTGATCCCATCTCCCAAAGAGAAAGCTCGGTATTTATTCCAGCAACACGAACTTCACCCCCAAAAGGCAGTACTGACACCATTGATGTGAACGACTGGCTGGAACCCTCCACCGCGATCAGCACACCACAGTGAGTGCCAATGTACTACAACCTCTCCCTGAAAAAAACTGGACCGGCTCCAAACCAACTCACACAAAGCACAATCAGCCAGAACACAGGACTGTTTATTCTGCCACACCCAGCTTCTTTTTACATCTTTCTACACGGTTTTTTTTTTTCAACAGACCTGTTTTTTCTGTACCTTTTTTCTGTTTTCTAAAATCCTACCAAATATTAATGAAAGGCAAACCTTTCCAAAAAGTGCTAATGCTCCAGTTTGAGATATTATGAAGGTGTTTCACTTAAAGGAGATGTATGGGGTACATGAAAAAAAACAAACTACCAATGCTGCAACACAGAGGTCAGTATATCTGTTTGAGTGATCACATGACCAATAATCGCTCAGTTCTTGGTCCGTCCAGAGCAGAGAGCAGTGACCGTCAATCACTTCTCTCTGTTCTGCTCCGCCAGAATGCGCTGGAGTGCCAGGCAGGGTAGAGGGTGGCTGCAGCTGGCTTCAGCGCTTATGTTGAGAACTGGAACCAGCTGTCAATCAGGCAGCTGTGTGGATCCTGACAATATGGTTGGGATCCTTTCAGAGCCTGGAGCAACTGTGCCACATCCTCACACCGTAAGTGCAGCCTAATCCATCTCTGACGCGTGACAGTGCAGATGCTACAGGCTCTGGCCAGTTGCTTTAAGCCTCTGTCACACAAGTGGTCTGGTTGGGTCTGTTTGTTTTTCAGGTGGACCTGACTGGACTCTCTCAATTCTCCTCTATGGGTAGTCATATGTAAATGGACTTGTGTCCATTTACACCTGGCTACCTCCGATCCAAGAAGGGGATCTGTTTTCTTCCATCTGCCTGGATCAGATCAAAGGACAGTCCTGTGTAAATGTATAGCCAGTCCGTTTACATCCAGCTGCCCATAGAGGAGAGTGGGTTGTGTCTATGTACGAATCTGCCATTCAGCAACTCCGCTCAGCTCAACAGGGGGTTAGCGGACAGATTGCCAGCTGAGCAAAACCAAATTCAGGCCCCGTGTGAACGGAGCTTTACTTTTGCATTATAATGAGTGGCACAACATTGCTCTCCCATATCTTTGAAGTTTCTATGAGCTGACTAACATTTGCGGATCCAAGGAATGGCGAACAGTCCTGTAAAATGTTTGCACCATCTCTATGGGCATGTCTTGGCACATGTCAAACCTCTGAGACATCATTGCCAGTAGCTGATAGTAAATAGAGGAGAAATGCAGAAAAAAGGTCACCGGACATCAATTTTAAATGTGATTTTTATGTAAATGTAAACTACATTATATTTAGTGGATTAGCCAATAGAAGCAGGGTTGATTTGCCATTACAATGACCCTAACTGCTTAAAGCATATGTATGGTCAAAAATAAAATAATAGATGCAATGACTGATTGATTGAATTTCCATGTAGTCTGGCCTAGTGGTAGTGAATAAAATGCCCTTCAAGTATCCCAGCATGCCTTCAGATCAATCCAAGAACACCCACTCCCTTGAATGCTGTGACACAAAACCGCCATGCCATTTGCCTGTGCCATCCATTGCAGAGAGCTTGCTGCTGGAACTACAGCTGTACATCTGGATGTCCTATGATGTTCAGCAGTGATGTCAGCTGAATAATCCCACCTTTAGGACAGGACAAGGCTGCTATCCATGCTGCTCCAGTGCTGAAGAGGAGAGCACTCAGCAAGGACAGACATTATAGGAAGCTATTTATGTAACATCATTTTAGGTCAAATATAACTAATGGATTGATAGATTGTATAGTTCTAACAGCAAAATGTGTTATGATGTTAAATATCCATCAACAGTTATTGAGATAAAATATTGTTTTCAATGATTCGGATGACTGATAGAAAATACTTGAGAGAAGGAGCAGTAAAGCACTGCCATTGTGTCGTACTCCCAAGTGCATCTATTATAGAACTGCATACTTTACAAAACAAAGCTTTAATGGCCACAACATAAAAATATTTACATCAAGTTTTTTTCTTTTACAGGTTTATCTTAAAAAAAAAAATAAAAAAAAAAGATTATACATGCCAAAAATTACTAGCAAAGTGATGCTTTGTATAGTGGCAAATGTTTTTTAATTGCAAGGATAGGAAACTCTGGGGAGTTGTTGAAAGGTAAATTTAGGCACATAAGTGCTCATCTACACTTGCGGTGGGTAGTGGTAAAAATAGGGGGTTAAGCCACATTTTTACCACCCCTGACCACCCATCTTAAAACAGAATTTCACTAAAAGGGGAAGTTCCACTTTATGTCCTCCTCACTATCTCCTCTACCACATGGCACATTATTTTTTTTTTTTTTTGGGGGGGGGGGGGGCTGGGTATCTAGTTTTGATAGGTACCCCGGGCTCACTTCAGATCAACTAGGCCCCCCCCTCTTTGCCTGCAGCCTTCTGGGACATGTCACAGGCCCCTGGATGCTGAGGGACTACTCACAAAGCACAGCATAGCTTGCACATGCGCAGTAGGAAGCCAGGTCCCAGGAGGCTGTGGGACCATTGACGAAGTGCAGCACGGCATGTGCATGTGCAGTGGGAAGCCAGTTGTGAAACTGCCAGGAGTCAGGAAAACCAAAGATCAGTGAAGAAGGGGACTGTGTGAGGACAGAGCTGGATCTCTTGACAGGGAAATGTCCTTTAAACCACTTCCACGCTGCCCTATTACACGAATACTGCTACATGGCAGCACGGGTGTGCAAAATCACATATATACAGTATATATATATATATATATATATATATATATATATATATATATATATATACACACACACACACACACACGATTTTGCAGTTCCTGGTGGGGGGCACACACGCACCACCAGGGGCGGACTGACCATTTGGAAACTCGGGCACTGCCCAAGGGCCCGGGGTCAGTAGGGGGCCCCATGAGATGCCCCTGGTACCTTTTGCATAGGCGTTTTTGAGTTTGGGCAAGAACACAGGGGCCCCATGATCCCCTATTGCCCAGGGGCCCCATGAGTTGTCAGTCCGCCCCTGCGCACCACCATTCGCGGCATTGGCTGTTAATCACCGGGTCCTGGCCGGTCATTCCCTGCCGGCACCCAGCGATTGCTGAGTATCACCGACAGGGGAGAGACCTGTGTATAAACAACACAGATCTCTCCCCTGTCTGCTCTGCACACTGCATTTGGATGCAGTGTTGCACTTGTCAGTTAAAGTAACGCAATGCCGTTTAGCAAAAAATGGCCTGGTCAGGAAGGGAGGTAAATCCTCTGGAGGGCAAGTGGTTAAAAAAAAAAAATTCATCAGCTACAGTATTTGTAGCTGCTGACTTTTAATCTTTCTTTTTAGGGTGAATATCCTCATTAAGCTGCGAAGGCAGCCAGACAGGGCTGTACACATGCTAGAATAATTATACTCCCTGTTGTATTCTGTCTGTAATGCACACAGTTACAGAATGGTAATATGGTCTTTACAGGGTTAACAGTCAATGTCTCCTCTTCACTTGTCAAATGCAAGGCCTGCTGTAAGTATAAACTTAGCCTTAGGTACCTGCAGTTTATTCAAGCTGTTAGGCCTTGTTCACCTCAACATGTATAAGAGCACTGTGTACAGCAAGCTGCAGTATGAACAAGGTCTTACTTTCCAAGGTATTTCAGATGGAAAAGGTGAAATTTCCCATCATATCCGGTCCTGGATTTTTTGTTTCTACTTTATGTCCCTGTGATACCCCTACAAGAAATGTATGCAGTTGTCACCAGGACACAGACAATAATACAGGCATTGCAAGAAGTTCTTCCTCTTCAACACAAAATCCTGATAAAATAGTGTTTTTGTACCAACTGGAGAAATTTTCCCTCACTTCCTGTCCTAACAAGAGATGTGGTGAAATCTCCCCAGTAGGGACACATACAGCAATAAAGACCAGACATATACTCCAACCCTTTCCTACTTAAGAAAAAAAATATAAGCTGGGGTTGGGGTTTAAAGTAGAACTAAAAGGTAAAACATTTTTCATTTGGATAGACTAAAGGAGGGTTATAACTTACGTCGTGTTTTTTTTTTGTAATCTACAGTATGTCCCATTGGGGAGATTTCCTTTCACTTCCTGTCCCATTCCCAAAACAGGTAGTAAGAGGAAAACCCTCCAAAGTTCCGGTTCTCCACAGACCTAGTGTCCCCAGTAGAAGATTTCTTCACTATTCCTATTCTGGTGACAACCAACAATTTGGGATTTTATTTCACTTTTTAGAGGGACAAATAGAAAGGATGGATCTCCCTAATGGGGACATAGACAGCAGTAAAAACCTGACACTCATTCTAATCCTTCTCTACTTTATCTAAAAATTAAATAAAAGTTTTGCCTTTACTTATACTTTAAGTAATTTGAAAGAAAGTTTTTGCATTAGCATAGTTGCAGTATTTTCTGGGTAGGATCAATAACTATTTTTACTTGTCTGGGATTGTACTTTTTCTATAACCCCAGCCTTCATTTGTATGCTGGCCCTTTAACAGCCTTTACAAAGCAAGAAAGGAAATATTTGATGCTGACAAGGCAAAAACGTGTTCGGATATGTGCCGTAACTCAGGTTTGAGGAATAGTTTGTGAGTGTGTCAGAAATGGTAGAACATGATATGACAAGATAACAGCCCATCTGAGCTGACTGCTGCTGTGTCTCTTCAAACAGGATTGGGATACTGGGAGAACCGATGAAACTATTTAACCGTCACAGTCTACTGCCGATCGGAGCTGAAGAAGATGAAGAGCAGGAGATGCAGGAGAAGAAAAACACGGCGTCCTTTCATTCTGGTCCTCACTCGCCCATCCGCCCTGCCACTGGACATCAGAGCCTTGTCTCTAGAGCTACGACTGAGGCCGCCTACTCTGACACTGACTAACAACTTATCATAGTGATCCTTGTAACCATCAGCTAAAGACGAGTATTTATTTACATGAGTGATGTTTACTGGACAGCTGGGTTAGCCCAGTGAAGGCATATTATCGATTTAAAAAATAAAAATAA